TGATGCTAAACAAAATGGTAGAGAATTTGATCCTAAACAAAATGGTAGAGAATTTGATGCTAAACAAAATGGTAGAGAATTTGATGCTAAACAAAATGGTAGAGAATTTGATGCTAAACAAAATGGTAGAGAATTTGATCCTAAACTTAAACAGCTGCATTCATAGACATTTTTTAATTAGTACAAATCTCCAGACTTTATCCCCACAAAGACTTGAAAGTTCAAATTGTTCCCTAATTTTATTGCCCCCTCTGATAGCATTCTGGTTCAGTTCCACTATCCAATGGTGCCAGTTTTTTATTTCACTGTGATGTCCCAACATAGGAAAATGCAACTTGTATCATTTGTACAAGTTCCCAAACAATGAAATGATTCTAAACAAACAAGAGACAAATACATCCAGAGAGGAGACCGGTAACTTTTTGCGTGAGATGACCACCATGACTTACTGTCCCCGTGACGTGTGTAGGATTAATGTGACCAGTGTTGAAAGACCTGGGTACAAGCAGTTGTTGGCCAGCAGGGCAAACTTGAACTCATCTTCACTCACAACATGCTCTGAAGGAAAGAGGAGAAAAAAAGGAAGTTCATCCAACAAATGCACTATAAAGACCTAGCACCCCACCAAATCATGTCTTACAGACCTAGCACCCAACCAAATCATGTCTTACAGACCTAGCACCCCACCAAATCATGTCTTACAGACCTAGCACCCCACCAAATCATGTCTTACTGACCTAGCACCCCACCAAATCATGTCTTACACACCTAGCACCCCACCAAATCATGTCTTACACACCTAGCACCCCACCAAATCATGTCTTACACACCTAGCACCCCACCAAATCATGTCTTACAGACCTAGCACCCCACCAAATCATGTCTTACACACCTAGCACCCCACCAAATCATGTCTTACACACCTAGCACCCCACCAAATCATGTCTTACACACCTAGCACCCCACCAAATCATGTCTTACACACCTAGCCCCCCACTTAGTGACCCAACTGTCTTACAGTTATAGTTTTGTTTTGCTGCTGAGAAGAGAATTTGTTCAACACACTTCATACCTGCAAACTTAACATGAATTTGTTCAACACACTTCATACCTGCAAATTTAACATGAATTTGTTCAACACACTTCATACCTGCACACTTAACATGAATGTGTTCAACACACTTCTTACCTATAAACTTAACATGAATTTGTTCAACACACTTCATACCTGCAAACTTAACATGAATTTGTTCAACACACTTCATACCTGCAAATTTAACATGAATTTGTTCAACACACTTCATACCTGCAAACTTAACATGAATTTGTTCAACACACTTCATACCTGCAAACTTAACATGAATTTTGTTTGAGGCCTTGTACAACTGTATATACTGGGCACATTTAGGAGCAAAATCTTTGACAGCCCATGACCTGAGAACTGTGTGTTGGTCCTGAATGAGGAAACAGTTTTAAAAGGCTTGTCAGAGCTGAAAGAAAACTAATATAGAAATAAACTGAAATAATTAATACCCTTCTTAGAAGCCAATTGTTACGGTTACTTTCCGTTTTATACCCAGTACCACTGATAAGATCATTGGTCATCATCATTCAGATCAAGAGGCCATTTGGGTATGTGCCCTTTGGCCAAATATATATGTAGTATAGGTCCACAATCCTGGTAACCATCTCTCAAACCTGGGAACTATTTCTAGACTCTGGTAAAATCTCTCATATTCCACCAAATAAAGCTGTTATCCACCTCATATTCCACCAAATATAGCTGTTATATCATATTCAACCAAATAATGCTGTTATCCTATCTATCTCATATAGATGTATATTGGCTTGTGTTGTTTATAGTTGAAAGGGATGAAAGACTTTGAATGGGTATGCTCGTTTGTAGTTTTTGTAGTGTTGCGTTTTGTGTTTTAATGATGGCCCGGGGTCAGTCATCTCAAGCATTCCCTGTCACAAACAGTGACATATATTATGCAATGCTGTCTGAGGCGTTCAAGAACTCCACCACGGGCTAGCCAATCCGGTTTCGCACCGATGAATCAGTCTTCAACCTTAGGAGGCTTCAAGGTAAAACATAACACAAGCTTCTGTTTGCAGACGATTGTGCCCTCAACGCTGCTTCAGAAGCCGTCATGCAACACAGCGTTGATGTCTTCTTTGAGGCCTGCAATAACTTTGGCCTCACTATAAACACAAAGATGACTGAGGTGATGTATCAGCCAGCTCCCAGTAAGCCCTACGTTGAAGGAAACATCATCATCAGCGGACAGCGTCTTAACGAGGTGGATAAATTTACTTGGGCAGCACTCTCTCCAGATTTGTCGTCATGGTGCCATATTTGGCAGGCTCCGCAGCACTGTTTGGGACAGGAGAGGTATCAGACAAGAAACGGAGATCAAGGTCTATAGCGCAGCAGTCCTCCCGACACTGCTCTAGGGAGGTGAAACGTGGACAGTCTACCAGCGTCACGCCAAGAAGCTGAACCATTTTCACACAACATGCCTTAGGGAACTCCTCGGAATAAGGTGGCAAGACAAAGTTCCTGACTCAGAGGTCCTCGCTAGAGCGAACCTACCTAGTATCTTCACCACCCTCCGTTGGATGGGACACGTAGACCGTATAGAAGACCACCGGCTCCCAAAACAGATTTTCTTTGGAGAAATCACGATAAGCAAGCGCTCCCAAGAAGGTAAAAAAAAGCGTTACAAAGACTCACTGAAAGCGGCACTAAAGGCCTTCAGCATCAACCCTACTAAATGGGTGCAGACAGCCCAGGTCAGAGCCAGTTGGAGAGCAGCTGTCAAGAAAGGGGCTACATCTCATGAAGCCAGTAGGATTACCACAGCTGAGACACGCAGGCTTCCCCAAAAGAGCAATAGTAGATCACCGTCTGCAGCAACTATCCCCTGCCCGCAGTGCCAGAGGTTTTTCCTAGCAAAGATCGGTCTAGCAAGCCACCTACGAGCTCACCACAACCCACCCTCCACTCTAACGGGATGACTCAATGGTCCTAGTCGATTTTGACGGACAAACAACAATATAGTAAAATATAGATTGTTTCTCTCTTTTAATATGGTTGACTTTGTACCGCGCTTCGAGCTTTTGGGGATGAAGCGTGATTTTTTAAAATAACTTTATTATTATATTCCACCACTTAATGCTGTTATCCATCTATCTCATATTCCCCCAAATAAAGCTGTTATTCCCATCTAACTCACATTCCCCCAAATAAAGCTGTTATTCTCATCTAACTCATTTTGAACCAAAGAACTGAATGACACAACTACCATACACTAAGACTATTTCATACTTACAGACTTCTCCATGTCATCAGTGTTTTTGTTGACAAGAAAGAAACAAGCTTCTGCCTCATTGATTCTGTAAAAATACAAATGTACAATGTGACACCTTTCATTCAAGATTAAAAAAATTTAAGCACCAATTGCCTCACTGGAAAAGATGACTGGTTGTGAATGATATGCCCAACCATGGACAAGATGCCTGGCAATATACAAGAAGCCTGGTTGTGAACAAAAAGCTTTGCTGTGGACAAGATGCCTTGCTGTGGTCAATATGCCCAGCTGTGAACAATATGTCGGGCTGTGAACAATATGCCCGGCCATGGACAAAATGCCTGGCCATGGACAAGATGCCTGGTTGTGAACAAGAAGTTTGGCTGTGGACAATATGCTTGGCTGTGGACTATATGCTTGGCTGTGGACAAGATATTTGGCTGTGGACAATATGCTTGGCTGTGGACTATATGCTTGGCTGTGGACAAGATATTTGGCTGTGGACAAGATGCCCAACTGTGGACAATATGCCCAGGTGTGGACAATATGCCCAGGTGTGGACAAGATGACTGGCTGTGGACAAGTTGCCTGGCTACAGTCAAGTTGCCTCACTGTGGACAAGATGACTGGCTGTGGAAAAGAAGATCAAATTAAAACAGTTTCTTACCTGCAACGTTTGAGATCAATGTCCTTGAGTGCAGACCCCCTGATGTAGAGTACCCTATTTGCCCACTTGGGGTCCTTGAGTATAAACTGCATGTTATCATCCAACTCCTCGGAGCTCATCATCACCACTGTGTAGTGCTGGGAGAAGCAAGAAACAGACATGTTGTTAGCTTTATTCTTTTTAAAACATAAACAATGAAAACTTAATACTAAACAAGTAGATGAAAGAGGCATTCATTTGTACAAAAAAACAGACATAAAGAGGTATTTACTTGTACACAAAACTCGACATAAAGAGCCATTTGCCTGAACATCAAGCCAGACATAAAGAGCTTTTTACCTGTATACAAAGCTAGACAAAAGAGGTATTTGCCTGTACACAAAACTAGACATGACATAATATGTAAATTGGACATTAACTCTTACTAATCATATCATAAATATAATATGTAAAAAAAAATATATATATAAGTGAAAATTTGTCTGTGGATTTGTTAGTTCCACAAAAGCTTTTAAATGGATTGATGGATCTTGACCAAACATGGCACATATATCCATCATTATACAGAAGGAACTCTTAAGGGGTTATGAACTTTTTATAACATTCCGTTTGGGGCCAGGGGCCCGAAATGTTGTTTTTTCCAATATAAGCTATATAAATAAAATGACCAACAAATACTCCTACACGAATAGATGAATTTTGACCAAACTTAGTACAAATACACTTGATTATCCGAATCAAATACCGAAAGGTATTGAACTCATAATATCCATTCCTCTGGGGGCCCAGGCCCCGTTTAACTTTTTCTTATGTAAGTCATATAAATATCAATAGGCTTAGTACTCCTACATGTCTAGATGGATCTTGACCAAACTTAGTACACATACACTTGAATTTCCATAGTCAAATACAGAAGAGTACTGAACTCATAATATTATACAAGCTTTAAAAATTAAATAGGCTTAGACAATTGATGGATATAGGCCTAGCGTGGTACCAATACACTTCATTGTCCGTATTGAAATATCGGTGGATTTAAAACTAAGAATATCCAATCTAGAATTGTCCAGAAAGTTCGATAACTTTAAAGAGCTGTATCTATGGCATGTTTAGACCGATTTTAATCGGACAAATTTTTAATTTTAACTCCGTAATTGATCTGAATAATTTTTATGTAGTTCCAAATCTCAGGCAAAACTGATTATGTAAAATTATGGAATGGGCCCCCTCTTTTAGCTTAAATGTATGATAGCTATAGCACTGCATTTATTTGTATAATTTTTCGAATTCAAAAAATTATTACTGAGAAAACTATTGCTTACTTGTTTTGAGGAGGTTATTAAATTGAATCTAAAATGTTCCATAAATTTATATCTAGTTCTACGGGGATCAAGGGATACAAAGGCTTATAGTAACGTTAACGAGATCCAGCAGCAACGGTAACATGATCTAATCGGGAAACGGGATCAAACCGGGATTGGGATCCTATCAGGAAATGGGATCCTATCAGAGACAAGGATCCCACCATGAAATGGGATACTAAAGGGGATCGGGATCCCACTCGGATCGGAATCCTATAGGAAAACTCAAACCTACCGGTATTGGGATCCGAAAGCTATCAGGATCCCACCGGAATTTGGGATCCCACCGGTATCGTTATCCCGCTGGTATCGAGATACCACCAGGATAGGAATACCGATGGCATTGGGATCATTCCGGAATCAGAATCCAGAGGAATCGGAATCCCACCGGGAAACAGATGCTAACAGGACCGGGATAGGGAGCCCACCGGGATAGGGAGCCCACCGGGATCGGAATAATGATAAAGCTGTTGAGGTTTTGTTTGTTCCACACAGGCTTTTACATGGATTGATGGATCTTGACCACACTTGGCACATATATCCATCATTATCCAAAAGGAACTCTTTGGGGGTTGTGAACTTTTTATAACATTCCATTTGGGGCCAGGGGTCCTGAATTGGTTTCTTCTTACATGAGCTATATAAATGAAATTAATAACAAGGCGCAATCCGACCGGGATCGTGATCCAACCGAGAAGCAGAATCCCATAGGAATTGGGATCACACCTGGATTGGAATACCATCGGCTATTGGATCCACCAGGATCAGGATACCGAAAGGATCAGGAACCCACCAGTTAGGGATCTCACTGGTATCGGGATACCGATGGATTGGGATCCCACCAGTATTGGAATCCATGGGATCAGGAACACACAGGAATCTGGAAACCACCAGGATCGGGAAACCATTGGATTGGGATACCGATGGGATCAGGAAACCACTGGGATCCCATCAGGATCGGCATCTCCCGGATAGGGATCCCACCGGGAAATGGGATCGGGAACACATAAGGAATCGGCATCCAATCGGGATTAGGATGCAAACAGGATCCTACATGGATAGGGATCCCATCGGGGAATGAAATATTTACAAAAGTTATTAAATGTGTTTTTATGGGAGACAAATTAATTATTTTATATTATTACTACAGCTGTGTTTATTTTATTTGACATTTCGCTTAATATCAATGTGAATTAAAAGGCTGCAGCAGTTGTTTTTGTTTTTTTTCCTGAATGCAATCCCACGCAATGCCGGATATATTGGCTAGTTACAATTAATTTGTAAACTGTACTTTTCATAAAGCAATTAAAATCTATTTTACACAATAACCTATTTTAAAGTTAAATGAAACAATAGAAAGTAATTAAGCGTGTAATGGTCTTCTATGAGGTGTCAATAAAACAGTGTAAAGATATTGGCTCACACCCTGACAGGGAATGTTTGAATCAAACTTACTTAGAAAACTTCCTGCTTCTCATTATTATCTCTGAGCTCTTAACTCCAATCAAGACTAGACTTACTTCAAACTTCTCATTATTACCTCTGAGCTCTTAACTCCAATCAAGACTAGACTTACTTCAAACTTCTCATTATTATCTCTGAGCTCTTAGCTCCAATCAAGACTAGACTTACTTCAAACTTCTCATTATTATCTCTGAGCTCTTAACTCCAATCAAGACTAGACTTACTTCAAACTTCTCATTACTGTCTGTGAGCTCTTAGCTCCAATCAAGACTAGACTTACTTCAAACTTCTCATTATTATCTCTGAGCTCTTAACTCCAATCAAGACTAGACTTACTTCAAGCTTCGGATGCTCAAAAAACTCACTGAGGAAACTCATGACAGATTCAATGGTGAACTCCGCCCCGATGACTACAACGTGTTTGCCTCGGGCTGACGCTCTCTTGCTGTAATCTCCACCCATCTTCTTACGCTGGGACCAGGTGGAGCCTATTTCTTCCAGCTGTTGAAGACAGACATTGTATGATTTAATAAAGTTGCATCTTATATAAGACACAATGCACCTGCCTGACTCTGCATCGCCACACACACAAAGTTAAGTGAGGCGTTTGAGTAAGAAAAAGAATAGAACTTATGAATATTCAATATTCAAGTACTTAAAACGTTTCACCTCTGTGAATAGTGGCATAGAAATGGAGTGCGGAGGGTGTGCTATGTCCAAGGGCTGCACTTTTTCTTCTTTGTATGTTATCTCTAGCACCTGGCCTCATTCTAAATGTTCACCAGTCAAAGCGTTACATTTTTTGGAATTGATATTGGTCATTATAGAGAATCTAGCTTATCTGGTTAAGGGTGCTTCGAAAAATTCAAAATTTTGTTAAATTTCCCTAGTTGAGGAAATTCATCAGAAGAAACATACGTCATCCATAATTTATTTGGCCACACATTCTTATGTTTGTTTAAAAAAAATATTTCAATAATTGTTCCTGTCTCTCATAATTCCCTGACTGAATTGCACTGACTACAAACAAAGGATAATAAATGAAGGACTGCATTCAAGCTGTGTGTTGGAAATAATAGAACAAGGTATATGGAAGCTTAAATCTAAAGACAGGACAATAAGATAAGAACATTTCTGCTAAGAGCATTCCTCAGCAGACAGGACAAATGAAAATACGACAAGAAATAGAAACTAGTCAAAAACATAAGGGATCACTTCTATCCTGCTTTCTACTCATTGAATGTCTCATACTTATAACTCTGTATACCAGGCACTTTTCCCCAAAGTCACAACAATTCAGTAGGGACAAACACTCTCTTATACCTGGCTAGCCATCTGTTGAAATAACATGGTGCCATAAATGGTTCACACTGCCAACCAAAGTCATTCAGTGTGACACCTTTAGTACCCCAGCTCCCATCTCAATTACTCTGACTTGGAGACTTTTCTGTCCCATCATCTCAAAAAGTGCAATAATTAAGGAGTTAAGTAGCTGTGCTTACCTATCTCTATCATCTAGCTCAGTGGTCTCCCACCTTTTTTATTGCCGCAGACCAGTCAAGGTTTGATCATTTTACCACCGGGGGGGGGGGGGGGGGGGGCATTTGATTGTTCATAGTTTAGATTGTTTTGATTTAATAATTTTAATTTAATTGTTTTTAAACATGCCTTCAAAATTAAATACAGTTACACCAAAAGATGAATATAAAATGATTTAACATTTTTAACTCACTAGAACGCTAAATCAATGAGAACCCTGAGCTTGTTCCTCTGCAACGAGATGGTTTCATGACTTTAATCCAGAACACCGAAAAAGTTGTTGTCTCAAGCGTAGTTTTAAGGCCGCCATCATTTGCAACCTCCAGCAGTTGATCTTCTTCTTGCACAGACATGCTAGATTCGCCTGGTTTGTTGACAAATGGGTGGTGGATACATTCCTTACCCATTCTTGTGTATTTTGTGGTTGATAAGTAGCGCTCGTACTTTTTAAAAGCAAGGGATTGTGCACCAATTGGGAGAATGAATGCTCAGGATCCGTCTCGCCTAAAATCCCGCTCTTTGAAACATGTCCAAAATGCCTCTGTTCACACGCCCTCCCCACAATTCCAGTTTGGCTTTAAATGCAGCTACTTTGCCAACTTGAAAACAGTTGTCATTTTCCCCAGAAGGGACAACTGAGTTCATTGAGCAGGCTGAATATGTCACACAGGTAATCCAGTTTTGCGACCCATATCTTGTCACTGAAATATGCTGTCAGCGGTGACTTCTTTTCTGAGAGAAATCTTTGCAATGGCTCTCGTAATTCATATACTCTGGTTTTCCTCTGGATAACCATCTTATTTCTGTATACAAGAGAGAGCATCTGTGCTCTGCCTCCATCTCATCCAACAGGTGTGTTAATGGCATGTGCTTTGATGTGGTTAATAACTTTAACGACATCAATCAATATCCTGTTAAATTCCTGTGACATTTTTCGGCTTGCCAGCATTTCCCTGTGAATGATGTAATGCATACATTCACTCTCAGCTGCAACCTCCTTTGATGTGGTGGCACTCAGAAATTTCTTCTGTCCTTTGTGTTCCCGTTTTTTTCTTTCAAAATACTCCAGAGGCTTGTCTTTTAATCCAGGGTGGTTGGCGTTCAAGTGGCAAAGCCGTTTTAAAGATTTCATTGCCTCATTAGAGAGCTGGTCGCTGTAAACTATGCAGAGCGGGGTTGGTGTGTGGGAATCACCTGTCCCGATAAATCAATATTTCAAGTAGGACTCATGGCATTGTCTGTTAAAAGTTTTATGTCTCTTTGATTTATCAATGTCAAAGAGTCTTCATCTGCCTCTTCATGAGACATACAGTCTCACGGAGGCAAAGTGACCCTTCAATGGATCCCAGGACATGCAGGGATTCCCCCCACTAGACAGAGCTGACTATCTTGCAAAACAAGGCTCTTCCCAGCCTCAACCTAACCGACCAATGACCCAAATGGGGTCAAGGTCTGGATTAAGGACCTCTTCCATGAGGAATGGATTAACGAATGGGAACAGGGAAACACTGCCCGAAAACTTTACCGGAGCATACCCAAACAAACCGAAAGGGCGATCACCCAGATGAGGACTGAGCATTGCCCTACCCGTAGCTACCTGAAAAGGCTGCAACCACTGCGGGACCCGAACTGCCGTCACTGTGGACAGGCGACCCGGTACCATTTGATCCACAGACCGGAAGAGGTCCGCGGCCCGGGGACCACTGATCTAACTTGGTTCCGTAAGTGGGGGCATGGACTTTTTTACAATTACCAAATAGTCACACCTCAAATTACTTTTGGTTTACCCATTCATCTTTCCCAAAGCAGTCATTAATTATAGCCAACACCCAGCAACCCCTACCCTATTACAAGCAATGAAAAAAAGGAGAAGATAGTATCCGATTTTACATCACTCAGGTTGCCAAATGGTTGCTCTGCTTAACAGAAATTACCACTACCTGTCAAGCCATACAACTCCTTAGCTATTGTGACCTCCCGTTGTCCATGTTCCAACTTCTCCTATGCTCTCACACACAACAATACGAAATCAATGAATGTGGTTTGAAAATATTATACCTTTAAATGTTTTATTTTTGACACACATCATCAAAATGTCTCAAGCTGTGGCAGGCCACTAAAATCAGCTGGTTGGACAGCACTGTTACAGATAGTGGTCTAACCAAATTGGGTATTTACTGGTCTAAAGAATAATTTAGCCCTATTTCTACAAGGCATGTTTTCATGCATAAACTAAATGCTAAATGTGGTCACCTGGCTTAAGTCTGAAAATTAAATCATAAATTACCTATCATATCATCATTTATGGACAAATCCATTATCAATACCACATAATCTATACCAAATAATCAATACTACATCATCAATTCCACATCATCAATACCAAATTATAAATACAATACCCATTGCTAGTCATCTACTGCATCCTGGTCTATCTGCGTTTGTCTTGATGAAGTCTTGCCATTGGATCAAATAGGCAATGACCAGAGAGTGAGGCTGATGAATTGAGCAGCTCTCCCTCATTTTAAACAAAATACAGCTCAAGTCAAGGCTACTGCTCAAGTCTAAAATTGCCGTGGCCATATTCATGTGTGAAAATGAACAACACCAATTCTACATAACAATGCCACATCACAAATGCCACATCATCAATACAGCGTGTAATATTAATTCCTTATTGCCAATTGGAAGGAACTAAGGCACTAGTAGACTAAAGGTTAAAAGGACTCTCACCTGTCTTGGAATAAAAGAAAAGGCCACACAGATCATTATACACATAAAGAGCTGACCAAGCCAAATATCAGGTGAGATGTCACCATAGCCAACAGTGGACAGTGTGACAATGACAAAGTAGACACTTTCAAACATGTTCAGTGGCTTATCATAGCTGCCTCGTTGAATATGCTGTATCCCACATATGCTAGAGTGAAATAAAACAAAAGAAATTGGAACTTACAATTGAATATATGCCAAATGATATTGCTCACTGACTAGTTGGGTTTAATGAAAGAATTTGGAACAAAATGTCTATTTAACATAATTTGTGATTTTTTTTCCTGTTTCCTCTTTTCAAAATATTTGTCTCCAGCAAAATTGCCTATTATGCTAATGATATTAATAACTATACATTTGTCTCAACTCACGTAGTAAAAATAAGACAACACAGTGTAGCTATGAGAAACCAAGACTGCTGGGACAATGTCACTGACATTGTTTGAAATCTTTGCTTGGCCAGGTGAAAGTCATTCTGAAGATAAAAAAGTTATGTATCAATAATTGTCAATTTTATTTCATCAACCCCCCACCCCTTTAAAAGGTTTCAGTACTTGTGTTGATTGCATGAAACTAGTTGTTTCTGTTTACAAATATTGAGAACCTTTGAAGGTTTAATGACCTCCATACATATATAGAAGCCAGAGTGATCAGTACATTAATCCTGGGCCCTCAAGATAGAGAAGAAAGAAGAAGCAAACAAAACATCTGTTGATCATTGGAGATGTAGAGACACAAATTGCCTGGATATTTAACATATTATCAACATACTTTTTCTGCTGACATACACAGTGCCAGTAAATGAAATTAAAACAGTGCGAGTAAATGAAGGAAACAGTGCCAGTATGTGAAGGTAGCAGTGTATGGGAGAGTAACAGTTTGAGTGTGTGAAAGTAAACACAGTTGAGTATATGAAGGTAACACCAACACCAGTAACAGAAACATTGCAAATCCCATCTACATGCATAGGAGCCAAAATGATCAATAAATTGATCGTGGACCCTTAAGATATAGAAGAAGAAGAGAACACAGTGTGAATATGTGAAGGTACACAGTGCAAAAATACAGTGTAAAAAAGTCCATGCCCCCACCTACAGAACCAAAATAGATGATATAGATAGGTAACACAAGGTAATACACTGTGTTATCCGTGCTACCTTCACATACTCGCACTGTGTTTACCTTCTCTATTCTATGAAAAAATCTCATTTTGTGTTTTATTTACATCATCAGAGGATCTTTTGTCAAAAAGACCCCCCCCCCTCCACCCCAACCTGCTGACACCCATGCTCTCCTCTCCACTGTGGACGTCCATGCAACTCATCAGCAGAGATGTACATGAAAAACTTACCAACAGCCTCCTTAAGAAGATGAGAGCCAGCCAACAATTAAGGAACTGAGGAATGAACACATGCTGCATGACTGGTGGCCAGAACACCTGGGGGACAAACAGTTTATATGGTTCATTTGGCAGCTAATTTTGGTGGTTTACAACTGTGAATGCCAATGAAAGATTGGAGGCCACCAATTTTAAAAAGATTTCATGTATGTGTACTTATGCCGAAATAAAATGTTCTTGACCTAGTTATTGTTTAAACTGAGTAATAAAAAGAAAATAGCCAGATGCTTTAATTTGAGACATTTCTAAAACATAAAATATAACGGTTATTATAATAAACTATTATTATAAGAATGATTTAGCCATACTATCATAAGAATAATATAATGATGTTATAAGTATAATATAACCATATATATAATAACGAGCTATAATGACATTACACCAAAGAACCGATAAGATTTAAGTACGTTTGGATTCCTAAAAACAATCACAGTTTTTTTCTATTATTTTAGGGAAATCGAATTAATTTAAATGCGCAAAAATATTTTAAATCCCCTTTTATTCAGTAAGAATGTAAGTGTTATTATTATAAATTACAAATACATTTAAAGTAACAACAAAGGAACTAATTTAAGCAGTTTAACTGAATTTAAAAGTTATGAAAAAAAAAAATTCATAATAAAATTATGATCTAAGAATTACATCCTAATCACATTTATAAGGAAAATCCAAACATCAGTTGTTTTTAGTGCATTTTTTTACTGTGTTGTTAATATTGCGAAATAAATTTAAAATTAATTTTCTTCTTAATAAACATGTAAATTACTTCATAGCACGAATCGCCAATGTTAGCCAAAACTCTTAAGTATCTTTGATTTGATAACCGCACGTTACAAAACTGATAAAGTATTTCCCCCTTCTTAAAAGTAAAATTAATAAATTTAATTGATTGCTCTTTAAATCATATATTATATATATAAAAGTGAATGTTTGTGGGTTTGTTCCACATACATTTTTACATGTATTGATGGATCTTGACCAAACTTGGCCCATATATCCATCATTTCCGGAAGGAACTCTTACGGGTTTAAGAACTTTTTATAACATTACGTTTGGGGCCAGGGGCCCAGAATTCGTTTTTTTTTCCCTATATGAGCTATATAAAAATAATTAGAAACAAATACTCCCACATGAATAGATGGATATTGACCAAACTTAGCACACATACACATGATTATCCAAATTCAAATACCAAAGGGTACTGAACTCATAATATCCATCCCTCTGGGGCAGGGGGCCCAATTTCATTTTTCCTTATATAAGCTATATAAATATCAATAGGCTTAGACAACACTATAGGTTCTTTGTAAATTGGTGGATCTAGGCCTAGCTTTGTAGCAATATCCTTCTTAGTCCGTATTAAAATATAGGTGGATTTAAAACTAATAATATCAAATTCATTCAGGGTCAATCTAGAATTTTCTAGAAAGTTCAATAGTCTAAAAAGCTATATCTATGGCATTTTTTAACCGATTTTACCCTCGAACTGTGGCATGCATCATTCTGTGATGTCTTTTCAGAGCGCTTTTTGAGTGCCTTTTGAAATTGTATTTAATGACATAGAAATATTGATGCAAGACCCCAATAATTATATATATTTTTAGAAAGGTAAATGGATGGGGATAAAGTTGGCCATATTGCCCACCCCGTAAAAAAAATTTTGCTCAGTGTCCTTGACTGGAATTCTCAAGAAAATAAAGATCGACAAAATGTCTTGCTTTCAAGTGCTCATAACATCATTAATTTGTATAGATACACTTAAAACACAAATCTAAATGTTGTAGCCAATTCATTTATCTTTAAGAAAATGAATAGTTTGCTAAGGTTTTGATTGCAATGAAACCTCTGAAAGCAATTTTAGTAATTTTAGATCATTTATATAAGAAACTGGGACCACTGCTAAAACCAAGTACAAAATACAAAATCTCAGGCAAAATAGTTATTATTGATTAGTAAACATTTAAAAAGGAACTGTGGAACTGATTTGGGTTGTTAAACTATAAAATACCAAATTTATTAGTTCTGATCTATGATCTGTAGTTTCTATGACTAAAATTCAGTCAGCCCTTGCCCAACCTCCGGGCCTGGCTCGAAGTCAAACATTTGCCTCAGTAGGCCTACTTCAGTATTGCTAAGACTAGTATCAAATTCACGAAAAGAAGAATCTGAAGTGAGATGTCATGGGGAATGTTAAAATCATCATCAGTATCACTTAAATCCTCTCCTAAAAATCTTTCAAAAATTTATTTATACTAGTTCTCGTACTGAAGCCCCGGCCATGGCTCCAACATTTTTGCTTTAAAAAAAACAGTGATATAAAATCCGATTAAAAAGTACTTATTGTTAAGTCATCAAGAAACAGCTTAAACCGGAAGTTGATTTCATTAGTAATAAAAGGAAATCGCTATGATTTCTGTTAAATATTGGATTGGAAGTTGCTATCGGACCGTGTTTTTTATCGGCCGATTTTTTCTGTCGCCACAGCACAGAACGAGAATATCGGCCGACGAAATGGGCAGATGAAATCAGCCGACCGCAGTTCGAGAGTTAATGGGGAAAATTTTTAATCTTTAATTTATCTGAATGATTTTTATAGCGCCCCCCCCATCTCAGACATAACTAAAACAGTACTTTATTAAATGTGCCCCCAATGGGGCCCTATTTCAATTTAAATGTACTATAGTTATAGTAGTGCAATTTAGTTGTATAATATTTCGAGAAATAATTATGTAGAAAAGTAATTTTTTACACGTTTAATGGAGGATATTAAATTTAATATAGAATGTTCTAGAATTTTCTATTTTGTTCTACGGGGATATATAATAAAATCTATAAGCTTATTCGAACAAAATCGCACTGAGCATGATCTCATTGAGGAACAGGATCCTAATGGGCCACGAGATCCAACAGAAAACTTGAACCCATCTGTCACGTGATCCTATCGGGAAACGGGACTGCGCAAGGATTGGGGTCCTAATAAAATCCCAGGCCACGCAGGGTATACCTGCTAGTGTTATAAGAAATAACATAGCCATGATATCAATGATTGAAGTCCTTTTTCTGAAAAAAAAATGTTCTTGTAAATTTATTAATAAAATTACTAAAACAAATAATCATTAAGCCATTTAACTTCAAATGATTTAGAATTTTTTCTGTTTTAAATTTGATAGTTTTTAATCCCTTGACACTGAAAATAAAGTTTTTTATACTAGGAGCTGACCACTGGTCCAAAACGATGAGGATAAATAAACCCACTTACCGACACAATGAAAGGCACGCTGCAAATGACCTCCAGAAGAAAAACTCTTGAGACCAGCAGAATGAGAAAATTGCCCTGGAAGAAATACACCTTGTTTTTTAACCTGTCTTACTTTCCCAATCCTTTCAAATAAAATTATTTGTCATCAACTCAAGAATGGAGAGAATTTTATCATTACAGATTTTTAACAGTTGTACAAAATGTACTAATTCATGAACTTTGACATTTTATTAATTTATCCGCCAGGAGTTGGTGCACATGCGTCAAAAGAAAAATTAAAGGGATAATAATATATAGATATCACTTTTAACACTAGTAACACAGTCTGACCTCACGACCCAATGATATATTATCTTACCAATAAATTATGAAACTGTGAGTGCATGGTACAATACTACTACAGTATATACATGAGGTACAAAATTACAAGTGGTAAAAAAATACAGTAACTGGTAAATTATGAAAATTCTTCAGTGACGTGGGTTACTTGCAAGTCACACAATTTAATGATTCATTTTCCTTTCTGTGAATCAATGATTTTTGTAAATTTCCCTTTATGACAAAAATTAAGCCATTCCACCCCTTCCCAATTTTTTTTGCATAACCTTATAAATATGTTGCTCAACTGCTCTTAGCTTGAAAATGTTCCATTTGGCAGATCACTCTAGTGTGATGCTCTTGAAATATTTAATTATTCAAAGGGTATCACTAAAAAGATCATATAATCAGTTTTACTGAACATTAATATATATCAGAACTGACCGATTCCAAGTTATTTTATTGGGAGTATAATGTCTTTGTGTACATTCTTCACCCACACTCATACACACATGCATACACCAGCCAAACAAAAAAAAATAAAAAATTAAAATACAAATACCAAATACAACAAAAAAGATGCATGGCTAACTAGGGGTAAAGTCTAAAGAATAATTATTTTCTTCTGTCACCAATGATATAACACATTGTTAGAAGCAAAAAAATAACATTCTAATAACCAATATTGAAAATAATAAGTTACATGTGGTGTGGATTTTTAAAATATATTAAAATTATAAAAAGATGCAAACTTGGTCATGTCAATACATTTTTTTGGTTTTAACTGAAAAAGTGATGTTATTGAATGTAGAAAATGCACTACAGTTTAACAATAGTTTATAATAAATATGAGCTTCCTGGAAAAAAAAATTATTTCTATAAATAGAATGAAAATTCATTTCGAGTAAATGCCAGAGTTAAATTTTTTCACCAGCAAAAATAATTTTCCCAAATTTGCATAAATTATTCCATTTTATTATAGATAATATAAAATAAGGATCACAACAAACCTTTGAACACATTAAACATAAAAATAATGATTGTATGAAAGATGCTCTGTAGTTTATCATGCACAAAAATGAGTGTAATTTCTCCAAACAAGATTGTGGTATGAGAAAACACACACACGATGATGTGGAGTAGACTATTCCTAGTGTTCTTACTTACCTCCCATCCTAACAGTAGCAAAAGAAAATGACAGTTAATGGCATAGTAATTTCATTTTGCTCAAGATATTCTGTTAGCTATTTCAAATTTATTTACCTTTCACAAGTTCTCATTGTCAATATCTCTTTTATTTTAAAGAAAATCTACAAACTTCTTTCACAAAAATGGGCTGCCCGCATCCATTGGTTTCTATAAGTTATTTTAATTTGAAATCATATTTTTTAAAGGCGGAGAGGTGTAAAAACTGAACTCAAGAACTGAGTCAAGGATGGGTGTGTGCTTTATAATAAACAATTTTTATTTGCAAGGTCTCTTGCTGAGACTTTTGTTGTTGTTTGTTTTTATGATCAATGCAAATAGTTGATTCAGACTTGCCTTGGCGGTGATGCCCACTATGACACACGTTTTCAAGAAGGTGATGGACGCCAGGAACACCTGGAGAGCCCACAACCAAAGCGGCCTGTGGACCCACTTGAGAACATACCTGATGATAATATAGGATGCATAAATGTTAAGTGTATTGTGAAATGAGCATGCTGAACATCATGGTCGACATGGTTCACACATTGAAGTAGTGGACATTTCTTATAGGATGACTATAACAAGGAGGTGAAGTTATCTAGTCAATTCCTGACTTGCAATAAAGTTTAGGGAGCCTATATCAGGGCACTATGGGCTTTGGGTAAAAGGGGAGAGAATGCAATCAGGTTAGCAAAAAAGGGGAATAAGTAATGCAAAGTAAGGTCAAACCTGAAAAGAGGAACGCAACAAATCAAGAAATGTGTCGGCAGGAAGCCTTCATCAGCGAACAAACAATAGAAAAAACAGAATAATTTTTTTTAAATATCACTTAACTGAGAAGCAGTATCGGAGAGGGCAGCAAAAGAATGTGACAGAATATAAGGTGAGAGATTAAATAGGGATGAGGGAAAGAAAAGAGGAGAAGTTAGTCCACTGCGATTGGTCGTGATGTGGAGGGGCGGGGCTAGGCTCAAGATGTGAATAAAGACATGACGTTCATGCCATATGGTGTCAAGGTTCCATAGGTCAGGAATGGATCATATTCTGTGATGTCTAGTCTGTAGGCCAGAGCCCTATCGGGGATATTCTGGAATGTCAAGTCTCTAGTTCAGGTCCCTATGGGTGGTATTCTGAGATATTTTGTCAGTAGGGCCATCTTGTTCACCTCAACAAAATGTAAGCTGATAAAGTTATTTTCTAAAAATGACTCACCTTGAATCAAGGATACAAACTTTTGAACTTTCATGTGTTTTTTATTTGACATAAGTTTAGTTGGTAATTATGTGAATATTGGTAATATGTGTAGTTGGCAATTAGGTGGTTAATGGTAATAAGTGTAGTTGGTAATGAAGTGGATCTTGGTAATAAAGATAGTTGACAATTAAGTGCCTATTGGTAATAGGGAATAAAGTTGGCATTATTATGAGTGATCTTGGATATTATGAGTTAGAGTGAGTACATGGAACTGAGCCAATGAAGTAAACTAACAAACCAGTTGATATCTGTTGATGTGAAGCCACTGTCTCCATCAGGTTTCCTAGTAAAATTACAGGGAATCCCATTGCTGAAATAAAACATGGCAACATCCGTTACAAACATTTTTAAGCCATTCATTTGCACAGGAGCACCTCATTAAAGAAATGTATGCGGTGTGTATTATTGTTAAATACCACTTCATTCATTTGCACAGGAGCACCTCATTAAAGAAATGTATGTGGTGTGTATTATTGTTAAATACCACTTCATTCATTTGCACAGGAGCACCTCATTAAAGAAATGTATGTGGTGTGTATTATTGTTAAATACCACTTCATTCATTTGCACAGGAGCACCTCATTAAAGAAATGTATGTGGTGTGTATTATTGTTAAATACCACTTCATTCATTTGCACAGGAGCACCTCATTAAAGAAATGTATGTGGTGTGTATTATTGTTAAATACCACTTCATTCATTTGCACAGGAGCACCTCATTAAAGAAATGTATGTGGTGTGTATTATTGTTAAATACCACTTCATTCATTTGCACAGGAGCACCTCATTAAAGAAATGTATGTGGTGTGTATTATTGTTAAGTACCATTACGGTTTTGAAGATTTAATCTGTGTTAATAGTTGGCTTGTAGAAGAAACAATGTGTAACAAAAGACTGATCTTAACAGTATGTAAATAAAACGATACCATAGCTAGTTGTACTAAAATTTAATTTAATTGAATAAATAAATTTCTATAAAAATACAAATTTGAGAACAGAAGCAAAAAAAACAAAAACTATCTACTTACAGCAAGTGAAAATGTACAATCCTCAAAATACAAATATTAATTTATAAACACAATAATATAACGGCTCATATATCTATCTAAGTCTAACTATGTCTATCTGCTAAGAAACCTGGCGGGCTTTATATAGGAATTAAATATGAACGTTCTAGTAAAGAAAATCTAGAAATTGCATCACAAATTGACATTCTTGAGAAAAATGGAAGGCATTCGAATGTAAACAACCTTTTACCAAGCCAGGAAAGGGGCAGGTATTGGAGGAGTGACACAACACGTTTTCTAGGTGGCATCTGTTTCAAAGTCATACTAAGAGACAAGTCAAAGTGGTCATGGCTAAAAATAACTCTGCGGCTATTTCAAGGTCATGCTAAGAGACATGTCAAAGTGGTGATGGCTAAAAATAACTGTGTTCAAGGGAAACACAAGCCAAACAGTACACCAAGCTATACCAGTGGAGACACGTGCTATAAATAGCTCTATGTTGAAGTGTAAAAATAAACCAAACCCTACGTTATACTAGGCTATATATAACAGTTATCAATAGACTTGCATCTAGACTCATCTAGACACATGTCAAATAAACTTAAACTACAATAGGATGTGGTCCAACAAGAGTACAAAGTATATAATATCAAAATTATACTGGAATAGTGGGCTACCATCTTTACAGTAATATTGTAGGCTACCTTTAAATTATCACTGACCATGGTATAAGTAAAACCTTTACACTTTAAATTATCAAACCATTGGCAATTGAAAATATAATTTTAAACAATCATAGACCAAGCATGATATAACACAGGGGTTTTAACCTGGGTGGCAGTGTCATGGGGTGTGGAAAGACATGGGTGCGGGAAATTTTTCTGAAAACAAGAGGGGGGGGGGTGCTGTGCTGCACAACATGTTAAGAACTCCTGGTATCACAAATTAAAAATACTAAATAATAACGAATAATAAGATCAAGAATGTATAGCCTCGTCACGCAGCCTTTGAACCAGCCATCCGGGGAACCCTTTAACTGGCCTCCGGTTTCTTACATGCAGTGGCGTAGGAATGAGGGAGAAAAAGGGGGGGGGGGGGCAACCCGGGCAGCACTTTGTTTCTTTATTTAAAGGGGCCTATTTCGGCCAACTGCAGGTTTCTTTTCGTTAGCACCAACCCGAGCTACGAAACTGTCTTCGTGTGCATGCATATGCTGATTAAAATGCAACAATCGTGGGTCTACTGTATGTGCAAAGGTGGTTTACGAGCTGACAGACCACGACCTCCGTTTGACAAGATAAGATCCAGTGAAACCACACCTAAAATGTATGTCTTACCAGGCGTATTCTTGTGGATCATCAAGACAAACCCGTACCACATAGAGGGCGCACATGATCACCTTGACACTGATGTACACAATGGAAATGTTGATTCCTGTGGGAAGGACGAAAAATGTTAGGTTTTGATTTTCATTATTCAACAATGGAAATTTCGATTATTTTTTTTAGAGATAATAAACTGTACGGACCAATAACAGGCCAATACATAACTAGTTACTCAAAATCTTCACTATTTGTAACAATTAAAATGAACAAAAGATTTTAATTCGGTTTTATTAAATATAACATTAAGATCAATTAAATAAATCGGGAAAACCCGCCATTGATAACTTGTCAACAATGCTAACAATTACTAGACCTAAGTCGTCCCAAGCTTCCAAAAGTTTTCATATCAAAATCATAACTTTGGATGTAAATTACTTAACTTTTGGAAAGAAGATATTTATTGATTACTTTAGATAAATGATGGTGGATAACTTTGGTCAGAAAAAGATTTGATTACTTTGGATGTGATACATAGCCTATGATAGAATATCTTGATCTCGTTTATGGTATAAAGATTTGTTTTATAATAACTCAAATGAGCATAATGATAAACATGTAATTAACAGAAAGAAGTCCATAATGAAACATCACCAAACAATGTTTCTAACTCTCGCTGCCATCTATTCACAGGCACGAATGAACATGACGTTTAGCTAATTGTTTGGCTTGAATACAAATTACTGCTACTTTATTGGCTTCAAATTGCTTCACTAAATTTTTTAATGAAAAAAACAAAAAACAAAAAAAAACAACAGAAAAAGGTGGTGGAAATAAAGAGAGAAAAAAATTAAATCATGACATTTTTAATAATGAAGGTTTAAAAAACTTTTTGTTTAAAATATTTAAAACTGTGCTTTTCGGTTTCTGGGAGTCATTTTTTAAATTTTATTTGTCGTTTCTTCATCTATTACTGAGAGAAGCAATTTGCAGAAGTGAGCTAACCACGTGATCAAGAAAGCCAATAGAAATCAGTACACATTTTATTAGTCATTTTTAATCTCACACGCTTCCAAATTTAACAAATAATTAGTACTTTGTCATAATTTCTTTAATAAAACATGAAAAATAAAGAAGAAATTAAAATTCAAATGATTTAAACTATTTTCCACAAACAAAAAATTCCATTTTTGGCGAAATTCCCAGGAGTTATAAACACTGGCATAAAACATTATGTTAAGGCCAAATAATGGCTGGCTTTCAAGGTCAGATGTACTGCTATTAGAACACTCTTCCATTCTGATCGACAATGATACAAAACAAATATCTAGATTTAAAAAAATGTTTAAAATCCCTATCCTTGTCACGTCCTAGAAAAGTCCTTATTGGAAGAAATGGTAGGGAGGGGAGATGGCGGGTGTACGGCCCCGACAAATACCAGGATCTGATCAGGGCCACTTTGAAGTTAAATAAAGATGAGTGGTTAGTGGTGAAACTAGTAGGTCCCATTTATTGGACATTTTCGAGTATAGCACAAAGTAAATGCAGCGTTGGTCACGGGCCGTAAGACACATTCAGCAGTTTGATATTGAATCAGTTAATTCATCCATGGTTTTGGTGGGTAGGCACAAAGTTTGGTGATGATGTAATGAGTCGCCGTCAGTGCTGCCGAGCCATCGTTATATGATAAATCAGTGGGTGCAAGAAGGCATTTAAGGGGTGCCAGGAAATGGCATTTTAAATGATGATATAGATATTGAAGTGTGTGTGTGGGGGGGGGG